CCCCTTCAGTTCCTTCTTACCACCAGGTTGTTGGAACAGTGGTCTCTCGCTCGCAAGTGCTCCACTACTCCCTAGCTACTTTACTTATCTCTGTGTATAGTTACCCTATTGTTAGTTAAGTGTTAGTTTCTGTTATCCCATCAAGGCATCAACTCCTAGGAGAGCTTCATCTTGTTGACTAGGGAGCTGATTCTTCTTGCTGAACTTGGAAGATACCTCTCCATATGCAACTACCAATTTGAGCTGCAGAAAAAAGGTCTCTCATTGTCAGTTGTCTCTGCAAAGATAAACTTAAAAAAAAAAAAAAAGTGTGTGGCATCAGCCAGATATCAGGTAGTGTCATGCTTTGATGTTGGGGATACAACAGTAAAGGTAACTGTGTCCAGTACTGATGTCTGTAGACACACATGTTTGTAGGGTTCAGGCAGTTATGTAGCAGTTCAGCACAAGAAGCTGCTTATTAATGGAGGCAACCTTTTTGCAGCAGTGACTGGATTCTTAGTACAGGAAAAGCTTTGTTATCCGACATGTTGGGGGAATGGAGGGTGCCGGTTAGTCAGAAATTCCGGTTAACTATTATACTTACTGAGGGAGGGAATTTGGATGCAGGAGGAGGCTCAGGGCTGGGGGTTAAGGTGAAGGAGGGGGGTGCAGGACGTGGGTTCTGGGAGGGAGTTTGGGTGCGGGAGGGGGGTCGGAGCACGGAGTTGTGGGATGCTGGATCCAGACGGCACTTGCTCAGGTGGCTTCCTGCAAGTGGCAACATGTCCCTGCTGCTCCTAGGCAGAGGTATGGCCAGGTGGCTCTGCGTGCTGCCTCCGCCCACAAGCGCAGCCCCTGCAGCTCCCATTGGCCGCGGTGCCTGGCTAATGGGAGCTGTGTAGCCAGCGCTCGGGGTTGGGTAGGGGCAGCGCAGGGCGCTCCTAGGTGGAGGCATGGCCACAGGAGCAGCAGGGACATGCCACTGCTTGCAGGGAGCCATGCTCAGCCAGGTAGGGAGCCTGCCGGCCCCGCGCCAGCTGGACTTTTAATGGAGATATCAAAAATGCCAGTTTCTACAGCTTTACGGTTGGTAAAGTGCCAGATAACACAGATTTTACTGTGTATGCTGCCTCCTTCTCTGTGGAAGTGAAAGGGGTCTAGGCTTTATTTTCATAGGCAATAAAAATTTCCAAGTTTGTAAAAGGTTGCTGCTTGGTCTGGAACCTATCAAGATCTACTTTGGAGACCTTCCAGTTGATGAGAGAGTAAGATTTTTATCCCTGATGGCCCCTAATCACCTTGGACACAGGGGCACTGAAAAACTTGCTTCAGAGAAATTCTATCAAATTCCCCAGTTGCTAAAGAATTTTAAGTTGCATCAGGAAATCACGCTACTATGCCATTGAGTTTGTGCCACTGAAAAAAAGCGAGAGAGAGGCTTTTGTTCCAGTTTTCCTGACGGAGATGTGAGTTCTGACCAATCGTGGATTTGAGATCTCTATTTTTATATGGCAAAAGAAAAAATGTAAAATGCAACCTTGGGAATAAAGAGACAAGCTGAGCGAGGTAATATCCTTTTATTGGACCAACTTCTCTTGGTGAGAGACAAAGTTTTGAGCTACACACAGCTTTTCTTCTGTTGAGAGGAAAGAAGTCTAGTAAAAGATATTAAGTCACCCACCTTGTCCCTTTTAATATCCTGGGACCAACACCAGCTGCAGCAACACTGCAAACAATCTTGAGAATATCGCTCTTGCATGAAGGAGACTGACTCTATGCACTGCACATTGTAGTCACTTGCATGCCTATAGGGATGCATCTCAGGCACAGGCAGCATATCTAATTTCCACTCTGCCAAAACATTGTTTCTACAGGTAGGCAAAAAGTAGATAGGATACACAAACTCAATAGATTTCTTCCTTAGGATCTACAGACATGCACAGTAGGAGGTAAGGTGTGGTGTGTGTGTGTGTGTGTGTGTTTGGTTTTTTTTTTTTTTTTTTTAGTTGAGTTGTGCCTAGGACTGTTCTGTATAA